TGCGCTTTTGTCCAGAAGCGCCATGCTTCGTGACTAGTGGACCTGACGATGGCAATACTATTCTCACTTTCAAAGTCAAAATCGTAATGAAAATGTATGTCACGCTTTGTAGTCCTGGAGCCAGGTCCAGAAATCTGACAGTGTCATTTGACACCTCGTCCAGGAAAGATTTGACTTCAAATTCGGAAAGGCGGACCAACTATAGGAATTTTGGAGAAAACTAGAAGTTCCCAATGTTGTCCGTTTGGAAGTTATGAGCTATTTCCAAATTGCTTAGGTTACTATGGTAACCTGTGTGCAATTAGCCGTTTCTGAGGCAAAGCCGATACAATTTGGGAGAAAAAAGTTACCTTGTTGGAAGGCGAGCTCTTTCCAAGACTGTTATTGAAAACCAGAAGTTTATAGGACTGTCGGCTTCCTTGTCACAGGAATTTCTCGAATTTCTACGGTTACCGCGGTAACGTGTATGCAATTAGCCACTTCTAAGCCAAAATCAGTGCATTTCTCCCCTGTAGGCAGGTGGAAAGCAGAGAATAGTTATACTATTGTGGCTTAGAGGTCTATTGGGCTGTTTCATGCCTGGTTTGTAGAGACTGGGCTCCTCTCCCCTCTAACACTACCGGGATTGCATTGACCTGGCCATTGTTTCCTCCCTTCCTTCACATAATACAATGTACATGTACATCATACGGTACTGTACATGTAGTACCCAGACAGCGGTGTGCTATGTTGACAGGAATGGTCACCATGATCCACTAGTACTAGTACTTTCCACCCAATTCACATTTTCTTTTTATGGAACAATGTCATGCAGGCTGTCCAATCGACACGTACATGTACATGTACATGTTTAGGAAGCACGGTATTGCCCATGAAATACAGTCATGTACATGTACATGTAGACCGGGGCGGGGGCCTACGCCAAGACCTGGAAGGACAATTTTGATCAACGAAATGGCGAATAGACAAACAACTGCCCTAACCGCAACATACATGATGTACAACAAACTCCGCCACATATTCCGTGCTCATATGTCATGCTTCAGCAACTCACAGCAAGCATTTACACAGGAAGGTATGGTCACATCTCTCTGATCAAGCAACAACTTCAAAACAGTGCCGGACGGACCCCATGGGGCATGGGGCAGTGACCTCTCCTGCTATCTAGCCGAGCCACTATGAATTCTACACCTAGTAGTAGTACCAAGAGTGTATAACCGGGGTGGGGGTTATAACTCTTGCTAGTACCTGTACCGGTACATGTGGCATCATTTCCAGCACTCACAGAATAGATACATGTAAATGTACATGTACATGTACGTGTGCAGCAGTTGTTCACCATCCAACTCGGCTACAAGTGATGCAAATACAGTACAGTACCTGATTGTTAGATAGGAATACATACATTATAATTGACATGCACATGTACTCGACTTGTTACACCAGCCTCACCTTCTATTCTCTTTTACATGCACTACTAATACTATACGATGCGCTGTATTCATGTATTGTTCCCACACACTTTCGAGGCTGACCTTAGATACATGTAGCACACTGGAGACCTTTTGATGCATTTCACTTTCAGCCGCCCTTTTAGTTATCTACACTAACAGCTGTACATACATCCTAATGCCCCTTTCAACAGTTGTCCTCCTGGTATTATTGCACACCTACATGTACATGTATACGATGTATATATAGTTCTTCCTCTAACGTATTCCTCTTGCACAGGTGCCATGTCCCGACCTTTCCCATTCTTCTGCCCACACAATCATGTACCTTGTAGTTTGACCTTTCTTCTTACTTCTCTCTGCTCTACGTATCCCCTGACCATAAGCTAGCTTACTTACTCACCCTATAAAAGCTACTGTCTTTCTAGTTTCCTAGGGATTAGTTTCTTGCCGATTAAGACCATTTCTCCGCAGATCAGTTCCCTGTACATGTATATTAGTTTCATGCTAGATTTAATACAGTGTATTACCTGAGAACTCTTTCTCTCTCTCGGAATAAGTGTGCAATTCTGTATGATAACCATTATCCATTACTGTAACCGCTTGCTCTACCGACTGAGCAAAACCGGGACTTAACATGCCACAGATTATTCCATGTACATCGAACACCCTGGATGGTTTCACCTGTATACAATCATGTAAATGTGGAGACAAGTATGGCCATAATAATTACTGACTACTCTCAACTCCTACAAGCCATATCTCTTGCCAATTGTCAACGTATTGGAGAAAATTGTTGATCGGCAGGTTGTGGAGTTCTTAGTGACAATAGTGAGGTTTCTGCCCTGCCATGGACCAGTTTGCATACTCCGATCTCTCTCGTCTTCTAAGTCCTGACATCTCCGTGTGACATGAGAAGGGAACTTGGTGTGTTTGGTTGAACGACTATACATGTGCATGAAGTACATGTATACATGTAATTTAAAAAGCACACCAGTAACAACAACAATAACTATAATGAATACCTCAACAGTGTCCTGGACATGTACTTCAGTACATTGTAGAATGTACATGTACACCTCACAGTACTGGCCTCTTTTACGGGCAAGATGATTCTTTGGATGTGAAAAAATACGTGTAGTCATGTACATGTACATGACAAAACATACAATGTAGTTTGGTTGCCAGCATGTTACAAGCTACGTGTAGACGGAGGATGCACTGAGTCTGTGTTCGAAAACAGTGCTCCTTATGACCTTACTACAACCTCCACGGTTGGCATAGCCCTGGTCTTGCGACCATTTGAACTATAATGGGGGCTAGCCCCAGTTCTAATATATGCTAGGGAATATGCTAGGGAATTGTTTGAGTCTTCTTGTTTTTGTTTTTGCTATCAGTTGTGTTTCCTTGCTCGTTCTTGGATGTCAGTCCTGCCTAAATCCTCTTGATCCTTTGTGTGGATCCCGGCACTAAATAGAGAGGGGTCCAGTCTCTACAAACCAGGCTTACAACAGCCCTATAGACCTCTAAGCCACATTATTATAACTATTCTCTGCTTTCCACCTGCCTACAGGGGAGAAAATGCACTGATTTTGGCTTAGAAGTGGCTAATTGCATACACGTTACCGCGGCGACCGTAGAAATTCGAGAAATTCCTGTGACAAGGAAACCGACAGTCCTATAAACTTCTAGTTTTCAATAACAGTCTTGGAAAGAGCTCGCCTTCCAACAAGGTAACTTTTTTCTCCAAAATTGTATCGGCTTTGCCTCAGAAACGGCTAATTGCACACAGGTTACCATAGTAACCTAAGCAATTTGGAAATAGCTCATAACTTCCAAACGGACAACATTGGGAACTTCTAGTTTTCTCCAAAATTCCTATAGTTGGTCCGCCTCTCCGAATTTGAAGTCAAATCTTTCCTGGACGAGGTGTCAAATGCAACTCCTCAATAAAGCGACTTTTTCGGACTTGGCCCCAGCACTATTGAGAAAGTAAGCTTGCAGCGTCGTCATCTTCTGGACAGGCGCATAGTCACTGATTTGGAATTTTGAGCGTGCGCACCTACTTCTCAAACCGAGAAGTCGGCTGAGAACGAAAAACATTTGCGCCTAAATGCTTGACGATTGTGAATTTGATCGTCGAACAAAATGCGTCCTCGCGATGTCCGTGCACAGCTTTGGGATGGCCAAGAACTCGAAAGCCCTTCTCTGATAGACCCATAACCCATTGCTGAAGAGATCTTGTACTCCATCTCGCCCGACCTGGAGCGCCACTTTTTTGAAGGTCGGCTCCCTGACTATAGGGCAGTCCCCACAGACCTATGGCTTTAGGCCGCGGTCACACCGAGCTCGATTCAGCCGTTCAGCCGAAACAAGCGCTTGTTTACGTCACTATTACCATGGAAATGGCTGAAAAATGTCCTACAAGCGACTTTCAGCCGTGGCTGACTCTCAGCCGTTTTTTTCGGCTTGTTTCAGCCACAGCTTGTACAAGCGGCTGAAAGCCGAAATTCAAAAAATAATTTGAGTGCGCTTGGAGCTCCGGAGCACACCTTGTAGTTGACATGATGAACTGATGTTCTTTCTTGTGTCCGTGGAACCGTGCTATCCCTGTGCCTTTGGTTTTGACCGTGAGTCTGTCTACCCCAACTACACTTTTTTGTCCGACGACCATGGATTTCTGCCGCTGTGCCTCTAGACTGCTGCGTAGATTGTTGGAGCTGTGGTTTGAGGCCAAGACAAGGCACCACACTCACGACCGAAATCATGAAGAAAGCCGGGTACGAAGAAGAGAGTGGATTGCAAATGAGTTCAATAACGGCAACCGCCGGGGCAGAAAGCTCGACATCAGGAAACACCAACCAAACCATCGCGTCCATGCACACCGAACAAATAAAAAGAGCACGACTTCGCAATTCAGAATCCGGGCTTCCTTTGCTTCTTCATCAAAACTGAACACTAGAACAAGTACAGTTTTAGATCGCGAACGTTCTGCTCTCCAGTTTCTTGCAAACATTGGTGTGTTTCGAGATATTCAAAATTATTTGGCGGGTAAGAAAAACAAGCCATTCAAGCTTTGCACTCAAGGTCTGGTGTGACCGCGTCACAGGGATCACGCAAGCCAGCTGAGCGCCAGCGATAACAAGCCCAAAGTGGCTTGTTTCGGTGTGACCGGGGCCTAACGGGATACCCTAGCCAATCTAGGATTGCGACTTGGTGAAGCAGCAAGGCGGACCGATGCCGGAACTGAGTTCCAGAGGTCAGAGGCTAAATAAGAAAGAGAGGAATAACCAAATCGAGAGGAGGCTCGTGGCAGTACAACTACAAGTTTGGAGCCACAGCCATATAGGAGAATCATGAAGAACTGTACTAGGACCAAAAATCCTTTAAGATCAAACAAAATCTCATGGACCCGGACGGTGTATAAAAATATCTTTATTAGGATGACAAAGAGGGTTGACGCCTATCCAGGGTTTCACAGCTTTGAAGGGTGTACATGCACATGTATGAGCTAAAGTGAAAGTAGTGGAAAGTAGAAGTTGTTCAGCGCGAATGCGTTGTATAAGACCTTGGTTGCAAATAGAAATCCCCTCAGTTGTTGTTGCCGGTTACTTGAAGAAGAGCCTTGGTCTGCCAAAGGTAGGAGACGAACTAATAGCGACTAGCACCTGCACCTATGTGCAATAGTTTTGTAGTTGTATGTATTATTTAAAGGATTTCCCAAAGGCATAGCCTATCGGGGGGATCTCCTAACAGTGAAAATGATCCTTGATATGTAATACTAGTGAAGCGACTTGTGCAGGCAAATATGATGCTGTTTATAATGAGCGCGAAATTGTGTCGTCGTCGCCAATATAACTGTTGTTTTATTGACTGTTGCTGTTGCGCTCTTGTCCTTTGTACATGTTACGTAGTTTAGACACAGCTTCAGCCTTGATTGAAAACTGTGCTACGCCCGGCCGTTCATATCTAATTAAGGTAAGACTGGTTGCTTTTGTTGTTGTTTCAAATTTCAAATCTTTATTCTCACGATAGCCAGTGGCCAATAAAAGAATGAGCCTGGATCAGCACAAACCATCACATGTGCAAAATTTTCAAAAAAAGTTTTTGTGCTCCAAATTGATCCACACTGTGACCACTGATAACCAGTCTCAAGAAATTTTAGATCAATCACAGCACCGTAAGTGACCAAAAAATGCGGTACACCACATCTCTGTACAAATGTTGGAAGTGGCATTTCTGTGTAGGATGCAAGTATGAGCGTTGATATGTGTCTGATCCTGTTAGGCATTGCCATCACTCAGCCGGCTAACAAGGAGGGCCGGCTAACAAGGAGGAATTTTATAGCCCTTGGGGGTGTACTCAGACACTGGCTTGTCCAAGTAAATCATTGGCTTCACTGACTATCGTGCAGCTAACGGCATAAGGCCAAGTTCCAGGGGCTGATATTGCATCCACACTAGGCTCTGTACTGATGCTCTCCAAGCCATTCACTTCCATGAAAACATATCTGCACACACGGAGCACAATCACAGTAGCTGTGACTACTTAGCACACAGGCTCATGAGCATGAGGTACGTAGATCTACTAGGTGCAGATACATTCAACGGTTACCTGACCCTACAGGAACATATTTTTTTGAATTTTTTTGGGAGCTGCTGCATGGACCAAATAAATGTTTCAAGTTGCTCAGTGTCCAAGCCAACGAAGCAGATCTTGTCTGGCGCTAGCTCTCGTTGCTCTTCCAGTCGTGAATCGAGACGCCTTTGCTCTGCATCGTCACTGTCGATATCCGACAAACTTACTACTGAAGGAGTCGTTCATTGCTCAACAATATCCACTCGAGTCGTCGTCATTCTCATCAGCGCTGCTTTCTTCTACACGAAGTCTGCAGCCTCGCCGAGTCGCTTTGCAGCAGGAGAGAGTCGTCCTCTGGAGCTCCGCGGCTTTCACCTGACTCCCTTGATGAGCAATCGCCATCCCAGTCATCACCCAAAAATGTCGTGTCGGGATTGGTGTCAACGACGATCGATGCGCGTGCGATGCTCGCGCCCCGCGATCGTACCTATTCGCCAGCCAAGCTCAAGAACGTGGGGTTTCCCAGCCGTGTCTCCTCACTTGCCTGGGGCTTGTCTAGCTAGCTAGTCACTGATAAACAAACAAACACGGGCTTGTCAGGCGGAAAGAAAGACTAGAGACAAGAAAGACAGAAAGGTGATGTGTAGTTGTTAGGTCCGCGTCTTTTCTTTCGCTCGACTTCAACGTCACTTTTTGATCAATTTGATATCAAACACAAGTGATGGTTTTCGCTGATCCGGGCTCAGATAATAGTGTAAGAAAGGAGAAAGAGTGAGGAAGAATTGGGTGGGCAGAGCCTAGGAGTTAATGACTACTTAAGTGTACGGGCAGGGGTGGTCGCTACACGAGCATATAGAGTTGTGCAAAAGCAGGGATAGCTGGGATTTGAAGAGAGTACAAGAAGGGATTTTGCGAAGCTGGGTGGGCAAGCAATTAAAGTAATGAAGGGCCTTGTTGTTGTTGTTGTTTCAAATCTTTATTCTCACGATAGCCAGTGGCCAATAAGAGATAATAGTGTAAGAAAGGAGAAAGAGTGAGGAAGAATTGGGTGGGCAGGGCCTAGGGGTTAATGACTACTTAAGTGTACGGGCAGGGGTGGTCGCCACAAGAGCATACAGAGTTGCGTACGGTTGCGTTGTTGTTGTTGTTGTTGTTGTTGTTGTTGTTTCAAATCTTTATTCTCCGCGATAGCCTGTGGCCAATAAGAGATGTTGTTGTTTGAATTCTTTATTCTCACGATGGCACCATCGCCAACAAGAGATAAATTTATGAGAAGGTGAGATTGTGGGTTAAACAGTTGGAAAGTGATTTACATCACTTTGAACTTTACAAGTATGGGAGAGAGTGAGCGCTGCAGGAGCAGATTGAGTTAATCAGCAGTGAGCAGATTTCTTGTTTGAAAGCAGGTCAGAAGGAGACGTCACGAATGCTAGCAGGGAGGGCATTGTAGTATTCTAGGGACTTGTACAGTGGGAAGTCTTTACAGCGATCGGTTCTGGAGGGTGGGAGGTGCCAAGTGCATGCGTGTCGAAGGCTGTAATGGGCCGTAACTTGAGCGGGAGTGTTGAGCATGCGTATGTGTTGTGGGGCATATTGGTATTTTATGGAGTGAGCAAGAAGGGTGAGCTTCACTTTGCGGCGAGAGAACATTGTCGGCCATTTGAGCCGATGGAGCAGTGTTGAATGGTTCAGAGGAGTGTAGAGGGGGAGACGGAGGCAGATTCTGGCCGCCGTGCGCTGGATTCGCTCAAGACGGTCAAGGGATGCGATTGAGAGCGGGGGACAGCAATGCATGCATATTCAATTATAGGCAGGATACGTGTTTAGTAAATGAGAGACAGTGATTTAGTGTGTAGAGTTGATTTGAGCCTAAAGAGAATATTAAAAGATTTTACGGCTTTCTTCAGCACAAAGTCAAGGTGGGCTGACCATCTTAGGTCGTGCTGAAAGATGATGCCGATGTGACGATGTTGTTGTTTCAAATCTTTATTCTCACGATAGCCAGTGGCCAATAAGAGATAATAGTGTAAGAAGGGAGAAAGAGTGAGGAAGAATTGGGTGGGCAGGGCCTAGGGGTTAATGACTACTAAAGTGTACGGGCAGGGGTGGTCGCCACACGAGCATACAGAGTTGCGTACTTAAGTGTACGGGCAGGGGTGGTCGCTACACGAGCATACAGAGTTGTGCAACAGCAGGGATATCTCGGATTTGAAGGGAGTACGAGAAGGGCTTTCACGAAGCTGGGTGGGCAAGCAATTAAAGTATGTTGTTTCAAATCTTTATTCTCACGATAGCCAGTGGCCAATAAGAGATAATAGTGTAAGAAAGGAGAAAGAGTGAGGAAGAATTGGGTGGGCAGGGCGTAGGGGCTAATGACTACTTAAGTGTACGGGCAGGGGTGGTCGCCACACGAGCATACAGAGTTGTGTACTTAAGTGTACGGGCAGGGGTGGTCGCTACACGAGCATACAGAGTTGTGCAACAGCAGGGATATCTCGGATTTGAAGGGAGTACAAGAAGGGATTTCGCGAAGCTGGGCGGGCAAGCAATTAAAGTAATGAAGGGCCTTGTACAGGGGAGAATGGAGACAGCGGTCAGTCCGCGGAGTTGGCAAGTGCCAAGTACGAGAGCGACGTAAATTATACGAAGGTTGCACGTTGCTAGCAGTATTTGTATTTGTATTTATATCATTATCTCATGGCACATCATGATGACGGCCAATAAAACTGAGACAAGGGTGAAAGCCAACCACAGCAGTAAAACAGATAAAAGAATACAAATAAGAGGCAAAGAAGGCAAAGGAGGAGACAAACCAGCAGGATATACATGAAATCTATAATTGAGCAGAGATTTTAGCAACAAAATTATCCATCGACGTGCTGGTCTTGGCCTGCGTTGGTAATGTTGCCCAAAACACATAGCCAGCAAAGATCGGGGATCTAGTGAATAGGGTGGAGGCAGCGCGTGGGAGACTGAGTGAGTTACGGGTATTCCGTGTTTCGGAGAACCAATTATAAGCCTGCATATGCAAGGGTATTTTATTTAGTAATATTTTATGTATGAGAACACAGAGGTGGTACTTATGTCGAGTGGAAAGGGGACTGATCTTGGCAATTTCGTAAAGACTAGCGGAGGGAAAGCGACGATCTTTGCTAAATAAGATTTTAAGGAGCATGCGGTTATGGGTTTCTAGCTTGTTCAATACAGTAGTAGTTATGCCAGACCAAGCAGTATCACAGTAGTCAAGTAAGGGCAATATATAGCAACGATAAAACAAGCGTTTGCAAGAAAGAGGAAGATGTCTACAGTGGGCTTGAAGAGCCCCAAGGATGGAGCTTGTGCGCTTGCAGACATACTGCACATGGGGTGACCACGACAATTTAGAGTCAATAATAACGCCAAGATGCTTATGCTCTTCAACAATACGAATAGCAACACTTGAAGAAGGAAAACAAAGTGGCAGGGAAGGGGGAGAAGGGGAAATGTACATAGCTGCCGTTTTATCAACGTTTGGCTGCAACTTCCAATCATGCATCCAGGTTATAACTTTCCCAATGCTATCTTGCATGGCTTCGTGCAGGCGTATAGGGCAAGCATTGCAGCAAAGCAGAGCTGTGTCGTCAGCGAAAAGGCTGACACCAGGGGCAATATCGGGGAGGTCATTAATATACAGGAGAAATAGCAGTGGCCCAAGGATTGAACCCTGGGGGACTCCAGAAGTAACGGGTAAAGGCTCCGATAACACAGTTGAGAGGCGTACAAGCTGATGTCGGTTAGAGAGATACGATGAGAGCCAGCCGATAGCCTTGCCATCAATGCGATATACTGTTCGCAGCTTAGCTAAGAGACCCCTGTGCCAAACAGTGTCGAAGGCCTTTGCGAGATCGAAGAAAACTAAACCAACATGGTTATGGGCGTTCCGGGCGGTGTGGATGTCTTGCACCAGGCGGGTAACCTGGTACCTGGTGGAGTCACCCCGACAAAAGCCCGACTGTGCTGGCGAAAGTGAAATGCGAACATGATCATAAATGATGTCATATACAACACGTTCGCACACTTTTGATAAAGTAGAGAGCAATGAGATAGGGCGATAGTTGCTGGGGGTGGTGCGTGGTCCTCTATTTTTGTAGGTGGCCACGACTACCGCAGTTTTCCACATGGCTGGGAATTTCCCTTCACGAAATGACATATTCAAGATAATTGACACAGGATAGGCAACAGACGGAGCAAGAGCTCTCCAAACTTCGTTGGTAATTCCGTCTTGACCAGGGGACTTGCCAATTTTCAGATTACGGAGATATTTCCTCACTTGGGCTGTACCAGTCGACAATGATAGGAGGGACGCAGGTATTGAGGGTGAAGGGGTGAGTGGTGGTATAGGCCACGTAGGGTCGTCAGGAAGTCCAAACGACGTAAACTGCGTGTTCAATATGTCTGCTATGTCTGCGGGGTCTGTTGCTACCGTGCCGTCTGAAGCTGTCATTGATCGGATCGGCTCCCGACTACAGTTCTTACGGAGATGGCGGAGAAATTGATGGAGACTAGGGCGATCATGGGAAGACAGGGTGGCATGAACCGACTGTACATACTGACGATGGAGGGTACGTGACAAACATTTCACTTCGTTACGCTTGCGCTTAAAGGCAATGAAGTTTTCACTGGTTGGATACTTCCTATAAATGCTATACAAATCTCGCTTCAGTTTCACAGCACACTTGAGGTCCGGAGTGATCCAGGGTCGGGATGCATCTCGCATAGTAGGACGAGGCCTAATGTAGTCTCCTGTCCGCGGAATAACTTTGTAAGGCAACAGATGACGATGGAATGCTGACTGTAGTAAAGCATCAAACAGGACAATGGCATCATCAACATCAGAATGCCGATGAAGTAATGACCAGTCCAACCTAGACAAGTCTTCATTCACAACCTGCCAGACACGGGTAGGCACTTGTTTATACCTGTACTGAGCCTGGGGATGGAGAGACGATTTAGCAGTCACTTGTGGTGTCGAGCACGATGCATAGTTGAGCGTACAAACAACCTGCAGATGATCAGATGTGCCAAGAGGAGCTGCGTGGTCGACTGAGAGGACATGTCGGGGTTTGTTGGTTACCAACAAGTCAAGACATGAGTTGGCACCCGCTGATGAAGTGTATGTTGGGAAACTCACTAGTTGTTGGAGCCCAAGCATTGAAAAAACTGTCTGTAGGTTGGTACCGGCTGTAGAGGTGGAGTCAGAAGAGCACCAATCATTATGTTTGGCATTAAAATCCCCCGTCAGGAAGAAGTCACACTCGTCATAGCAAGAGGACTGTATAGCATCGACCAGCATATCCGAGAAGAAGGACAATTGTTCCGCCGTTTGGGAAGGGGGTCGATACATGCAACATACAAGAATAGGGTTAGGGGTGCATTGAGACTTAACTTCCACCCAGGTAGATTCACAGCCCTGACGCTGCAGGTCGGGTCTGTGGAGAATATGTTGAAAAGCATCAGTCCGGACAAGCACGGCGACACCACCATATCCTCTAGTGAAAGAGTGTGCATTTCTGTTCTCGTGTGCTGGTCTGTCTCTTCTGAAACAGGAATAGCCCGGTACATGCACGGAAACAGATGGGCACAGCCAGGTCTCCGTGAGGCAAACAATACTTGGCTTAGTGCTCTCCAGAACAATCGAAAGTTCAGCTAATTTATTGACGAGAGACCGACAATTCATGGTTATCAGCGTTAGGTCGGATTCTGATCTGGGGTAGAATGGGGTAGCATGCAAGTTGAGGGAAGACATAGACAACATGATTATGACGAGGAACTATCACCACCACGTTCAGTCACGTTGGTACCGTCGGCAAAGCGCCACTTACGGACGGTGTGGCTAATTGTTGCCGGCCAAAATCCTGCACTGAGTATTTTGCCTTCATCCGTCGCTAGGACAGTCAGTCGTGCATATGCTGTGCCAAAGGTCCGGGATTCGCTAATACTGCAATTGAGCACCTCAACCTCACGGTCCTTGCACCAGTCAGTAATTGCGTTAGCGCTACACTCCATGTGGACATTGCCCACGTAGAACACAGATTTCGCGACTTTTTCTACGCCTGTAAGGATGTTGGGGTTAGCTGGGGCCACAGGCTTCACGTACCGGGACGTGACCCGACGCCGTACAACTTCGGCCCAGCCATCCGAACTGCTTCCCGTATATTCACTTGTACTAGTTGTAGCCAATGTTGATCTGGTTGGTGCAGCCGGTGGTGTTTCAGTGCGTGATGAGGTCTGGTGTACATGTGTCGATGTTTGGGAAGTGCGGGTACGGTTGGTAAAGTGTGCGTTGGGGGGAGTACGAGTCCGAGTGACGGTTTCTTTCACCCCAGCCCCTGTACTACCTGAACTAGCTACACTACTGTACGTTGTACTCGGGGTTGTAGATTGTGCAATCAGGTTTGGACTCCCGCCTTCCTCAAGGTGTATCATCTTCGCCACGAGGCCATCAATGGTTGCTTTCATTTCTCTAACTTCCCTATCCCTGTCCTCCCTGAGGGAGACCATTTCCACAGTTAATGCAGTGATAGTCGAGGACAGTGCACTGATAGAGCTCACTAGCGCTGGCATACCTGATTTGCCGATGTCCATGGCGCGAAGTTGAAGTACAAGGTCCGGTCGGGCCAACGAGTCCACACCTGCAAGTCCTGACTTTTTGGCCAAGTCACGAATCTCCCCATCCAGCAGCAAGGCCAGGTCCATATTTGAGTTCTCCACCATATTAGGGCTGGGACTAGTTCCAGGTCCACCTAGTACCTATACTTACAAAGTGGCCGAAAGGCTATTCCATAGATGGAAAGGCAGGAGCTAAAAACTTGCTTCCTACTCCTACGACTTTTGTTAATTCGGTCAGTAGCACAGTATGCACCAGAATACCCAGTATGCAGCGAGAGTATATGTGGTGGGGCATAATTATGGCGCAGAGAATGCGCGAAGAGTATATGTTTAACTTTAAAGCGTGAAAATAATGTTGGCCATTTGATGCGATGCAAAAGGTGGGAGTGCTCTAAGTGTGTGTAAAGGGGAAGGTGGAGACATATTCTGGCGGCTTTCCGCTGGAGTCGTTCTAGCCTGTCAAGGGAAGTGTGCGACAACTGTGCGAGAGCATTGCTCGCATATGAGAATATTTTGTTGTTGTTGTTGTTGTTGTTGTCATTTCAAATCTTTATTCTCACGATGGTCTGTGGCCAATAAGAGATATTATGGTGAGATTTGCATCACGTAGAGAGTGTGCAGTGCTGGATTAATTAAAGATTTGCCATCTTTAGCATTCGGCAAACTAGGCGAGCGGGGCTGTTGTTGGTTTTTTTAAATCTTTTATTCTCACGATGGCCTGTGGTCCATAACAGAATGTTGTTGTTGAAACTAGATTTGCATATGAGTGCACGGGTCCTCAGCCGCTACTTTTTTCTGTTTTCTCCCCTTTTCCAGACAAAAAAATGCCTTTTTGCATACTGCGCCTGCACATGCGGATACCTGTGCTGCTCGGCCTTGTGGCCATGTCAGTCCTACTAGAATGTCAAGGGCGAGGATCCTCCGATTTCGAAGGTATGTTCATCTTTCATGTGATAAAAATCCTGTGGAAAGACCCAAACAGCCTTTACACCCCCCCCCCCCCACACACCCCTCTCAACAGACTCCCACACATACCGATGCATGTACACACATGATTGTAATGCCACACATGCACATACAATGCATGTACACGCAGGGCAATGTAGACAGCGCACGCAACTTGGTATTGCAGTCCAATGCAAAGAGCCGACTTTCATCGTATCAGCTCGTTTTCCACTAAACAATTGTCATTTCGAAATCACTGGTTGTAGACAAAAAAAAAACACACAAAAAGTAAATTCAACCGCGATGGGTAAGCTACGAGCCTACGAACCCGGGTATCGTCTTGCCTGCTGTGATGGGCAGTCACATAGGCTGCAGGATCTCCTACATCCTACTTCCTCCGTTAACAAAAATTTCGTGATGGATTTTGATGGATATGAAAACGCTTAGAACAGGTCAAGAACAGTTTGTATCGAATGCAAATCACTGGACGAAGGTGATTCAGCCTATGTACAGCGTCTTTACAAGAGAAACTGTTGGCGGAATGAGCAGAGAGTTCAGTTTGCGTCGCTTTCGCTCGATTCATTTTTGACCTGCGTCGCTGTCGTCATCTGCTGCATGCGAGTCGTCATCTGCTGTACGCGAGTCGTCATCTCTCTCGAGTCGTTGTTCAGCTCGTTTCAGCCTTGCCTCGGCTTCTTTGATCACACTCCGCTTGATGTCGCCATCGTTCAAGTAAGTTTGCTTTCAAGCTGCGTGATCCGCCGCGATGGCGATTACTCGTTTCCACCAGGGAGTCGTGAAAAATATTTTACGACTCCCTGGTTTCATCTTCGCTTTCCAGAACTCCGCGAAACGAAGAGTAAAGGCACAGCCAAACTGATTCCATTTTCTCGAATGGATACCAGCACTGAACGACAGCGGCTAGCAAGTCCAGTCGACTTTCTTTAGCCACGAGACTCGCATCGAACTGCAGACTTCTGAAAGAATGCATGATCATCAGCATTCGAATCTGGGCTTTGCGCAGGTTGAACAAGAACTTGAGTTCAGAATTATTTTCATTGAGCCGTGCGATCGGAGCAGCTCCTTGTTCACTCGCTCATTGTGTGGGCTCGCTGCTCCGTTTTATCGCTCTCTATCACTCTCCAACTTGCTCAGTGCTTAAGTGGTAGAGAGGCGAAGCAGCGCAATATCCCCTCGGAGAAGTGGTATTTCAGTTTCGCTCGCCATGACTGTCATCACCTATGTTTCGACAGCGTAACCATCGATTCCGCTCGGCTTGTTGTGAAAGGTCGCTTTCGTTGCATTGTACCTCTGTCATGGCATGCCAGGGAAGGCCAAGAAAGTGATTGCGACTCATTTCACGGCAGTTTGTGCCCAAATCAGCCCCTCAAAATTCCATCACGAAGTTTTTGTTAATGGAGAAAGTACCATGAAGACTTATGCCTACTATTCATTGCATTCGACCTCTCGGAATGCCGTTTCCACCCTCAGAGCCCCTCGGTACCATAATGGCCCGGCACGAGCCACGCAGTCCATCAGCCAGATTTAAAAAAAAGTCGTCTAAAAGTTGACTTTTCATTTTCCGCACTGGGCTGTTTGCGATACTTTTAGAGTCACATTCTCAGCGGAGGGCAATATTTGAAAGTTGGTTTTTGTGTCAATGGCTCTTTTTCCTATTGGCAGTGAGTGTTGGGTCCCTGCGCTGCCGAGAACGTCTCCTTAGCGGTCTTTGCAACGAATTGCGACACTGGCAGCCACCCCTGACACAACGCCGAAAACTGACTGATATGGCGCATAAAAAGTGAACTGGATAAAGTTCATTTTCAACACAACCAAGACAACAACAAAAAAGCTATGACACACTAACTCCTGTCACCAGAAACAAATACAGTGCATTCATATGGGTAGACATTAGAAGTACTAAATTTATACCAATCTTTGAGTACCAAAATAAGAAAAATGGAAGTTATCAGGTCAATACCATTAGAGTTGGCAGTTATTGGATTTTGCTGGTTGTGCAGAATGATGCTGGCGGTGTGGTTGTCTCTCCACTGTTGGCTTGCCGTCGACAGGTGTCAGTCGCAGTACCTTCGCGTTCTCACTTATCAGGCAAATCACGTTCTGCATGACGTGGACCGTAGCGAGATAGTTATCCAAATCGTCATGGTAATACATACAGATGAGGCCTTCTTCATTGTAGTTGGCGCAATTTGTTCACGGGATCTGGCCTTTAGCGTCTCCAATATCCACACTAGAATTATAGCTGGATAGCCAAAATGCTTATCGACAGCTAAGAAGTGTGATGCTTCTTCAAATAGGCAGTTGATTTATCTTGTCTGCTCCATTTTCCTTCTTTAAGCTCTTCATCCATTTGACCGCAACATAGAAAACAGTAAGATCAAAGACAAGAATTCCAAATACGGCAGTGACTCTGTTGACCAGCCAATTTGGAATAAAGCGAAATTATCGCTCTCGTTTGTGTACCCTTGGTCATAGCTTCTATGGTCAATGCGAGTTGTTCCAAAATTTCCAAGTACTAACTGCTCTCTCATACAATGTTCTCTCATACAAAAGCAAAACAAACAGAAAACAAGAAAATTAAACCACATCCCATATGTTACCCGGGGGGGGGGGGGGGGGGATCATATTTCAAAAGGCAGGTAGACATAGTCGCTAGTGTAGTGAGTGCATCCACTACATCCGTTGCCAGTTAAAGTCTGGATATTATTTCATACATGCAATCGTGTTCGTTCCTTTCGCGCAGTGTCGCAAGGAGTTTGTGAGGATGCATGTAACTGTTAGCAAGAGTTGGTTGGTTGGTTGGATTTATTTAAAGTCGTACAACAAACAGGCATATCTGACTCCTTATAATTATGAAGACGACTTCTGCCAGTAAAGCATTTAAAAAGGAAAAAGAGAAAAGAAAAAAGAAAAGGTAAGATCAAGAATGTATAGACTGAGCATACAGCTAGCCGGAGACTGAGCATACAGCTAGCCTCGGCATGTATCAGAACATCAGGATTACTAGTACTCAGGACAGGTGAGGGGGTTGCTGTTCACGCTACAGTAAAATGATACGCAACGCATATAACCCCACCCCCAAGAGTGTGCCTGATACCCTTGCTATAGGGTACGCCAATGGCGAAAACTCACATCACGTGGTGCAGTGTCGCAGCTGTACGTTTGCAGCCCGTTTTTAGCCAGCAGCGGAGAATAAAAAAAGCACTATCTGACAGAAACTCACTGCGGGTATGCAAAACCCCCACCAGTGTTGCACAGTCTTGGTGGGTTATAATTATACCGGTAATCTTGCTGTTTCTAGTTACTCTAACACCATGGTGAATACTGTCCAACAGGGCAATACAAAGTGCATGTGAATAATCTGCTTCTTTTTGTTACGGGCAAAAATTGACACAATGGATTAAAATGCAATAAAACATACTCTGGAGAAGAATCATCAGAAAATGCCTGTGAAAAATGAAGATTTTCAAACCCAAACCAAAAAACTTCAAATCATTTTTTATAATTAGGACGAACTCAATCAATGAACTCAATAAGCTCAATTCAAAAGGAGAACAACAATGATCTGCTTCTGGTTACTCATGTACGTTAGTAGTACGACCACCCCTTCGGGGCCAGAGAAAGCGGTCTTTATTGGCAGTATTAGTTAGATGTTTGCACCGCACCATGACATTATCAATGTGAGAGGCGTCCGTGCCTTGCGAAGTGGTCTGTAGTACCAGGCTGGTCGCCAGGCACGGTGGTCTTTAGTTACAGGTTTTACTGTAGTACCAGGCTGGTCGCTAGTCATGGTGGTCTTTAGTTACAGGTTTTACTGTAGTACCAGGCTGGTCGCCAGGCACGGTGGTCTTTAGTTACAGGTTTTACTGTAGTAGCAGGCTGGTCGCCAGGCACGGTGGTCTTCAGTTACAGGTTTTCTGTAGTACCAGGCTGGTCGCCAGGCACGGTGGTCTTTAGTTACAGGTTTTCCTGTACACTGTTTGATCGGTGGGTGCTTGCATTCGGTGTTGTGTTTCCTGCAGCAGTAACCTGTGAAGGACAGTACCAAAAGGATGAACATGTTTGTAGAGGGATACCGGTGACTGATGTGATTGTGGTGGTTGACGAATCGGCCAGCTTGGCTCAGGCGCATGCTTGGCTACCAGGAATGTTGAAATACCTAGAAGACTCGCTTACCGCCAGTGGTATCGGACAGAAAACCGGTGATCGGTCCCAGCGCAACTTGTACGCCTTGGTTGGGTTTGGGAGAGCGCACGACGCGACAGGACATGTCTTGACCTCTTCCTGCGTCAGCCCCAATGATAACCTCTTCCCAATAGAATGCTACCAATCAGCAAACTCACAACTGGAAGCGAAGCTTGACAGTGGAAAAGAGGATGGTTATGAAGCCATTCAACATGCCCTGCTGAACGTCCCTTGGCGGAGACAGGCGGGCGTCAGGCATAATCTGATTTTCATCAGCGATGAAGATCGCGAGGAAGTTGCCAACATTTCACGAGCTCAGATAAAACAGCTCTTGCGTGAGAATGGATTTGTCTTGAATGCAGTCATTGACAATGCGTTTCATCACGATAACAATGGCAATCGTGAAAACCTACTTGGAGTGGCTCACACCGGAGTCGGATTCAAAGGCCAAGGCGGTGAGTTTTACACCAAGGTGTACAATGCAACCGTGGGTCATGCATATGGCACTACCCAGACGGACTATGCTAAGTTAGCACTGGAGCTTCGTGGTGCTAGTTGGAGCATCTACAACCTAGACAGCGGAGATCAAGGCTTTATAGATCAACGTGCCTCGTTCACAGCCGCCTTTACGAGCAGCTTCAAGACGATGGAAGTCCAGCGTGAGCGTAACAATCCCTATATGTGCACCTGCGCAGAGAATGCGACATCGCCAAGCGGCGGAAGTATGGCCTGTACGATGATGCCCAGCACGGACGCATGCCTTTGTGAGGCCAATGGCGGTCTGGTGAGTAGAACGTTTTTGTTTTGTTTTGAAGTGTAAAAAAAGAAGAAAACACATGAGAACGAGCTATGCAGCGATTATCCATGACTAACAAAATGATAAACAGTCAGAGAGTGCGATAATAGGGCACAAAACCGACAGGCTACTGAGACGTTCAACGACCTGTGACCTAGCTCTAACACACATCCAGTGCACCAACCAACGGCCTTCCAGCTTGGAAGGTTCATGATGATGTAGGACCGAAGACGGGAATGTGAGCCCAGGAAATGTGCACAAGCTAAGTCCCACGGCAACAAAGAATGCCGACTGTTACAGGACGATGACGACACCATTTAATGACATGACAATGCGGTCTAAATACAGATTGGAGGAGCCTCGGCGAACTCCAATCAGAGTTCTTCGAGTCTCCTACTCCGCATTCATGATCACTGTCCATGCTCAGAGCACGCACAGTGATCTACATTCTAAAGTGAGATATTCCTTCAGTAGTTACCTTGGATCCGCAATTTTAAAGTTTTTTTAAAGTTTTTTTTATCCAACTACATGCGCACGCATGCGTGACCAAACCACTCAGTTTTTCAAAGAGATAGATCACACAAACCACAATAAGCCCTGAAGCCCAAAACACCATGGGAGGAAGCGGCGGCTGCACAGTGATCATGAATGCTGCGAGGAGACTCGAAGAACTCTGATTGGAGTTCGCCGAGGCTCCTCCAATCTGTATTTCTACTTCGTCTCCTACTCCGCATTCATGATCACTGTACATTCTTAGAGCACGCACAGTGATCTACGTTCTAAAGTGAGACTTCAAAGCAAACGTTTTGGGCGAAGCAGGTTTTTAATAAAACCCAAACACATGGCAAAGAAGTTATTGTTTCTCAGCAGCAGCAATGAGAGCACTGGCAACAGAAGGCGAAGGCAAAAGAGAAGAGCGCCGTCTATAATGTTTGTGGAATGTGGTGGCCGTCGACCAATCACCAGCCTTCAGAACACAGTCAAGAGGAACAAGCAAACTTGCAGCAGAAGAGAATGCACCATGCACGTATACTGTGTGCTCCAAACTTAGAGGTATCTATGCCAGCCATGGACATCACAGAACGAAGCCAGCGAGCAACTGTGTCTGATGAGACAGGAGCATGAGGAAAGGCATAACTAACAAAAAGCTGCCTAGACGTAGCAGGACGAAGGGAAGACGTTACCTTCAAATAATCTGCTAGCAGTTGAGTGGCACCAATACGATCATCCTCTGATTTAGAAGGCAAAACAATAGTGAAATACGGACGTTGACGTGCCACCTTTTAAGATCATGGAACACAAACAAATATGTGCCAGAAGAAAGAAACTGAACATCTTTATCAACATGAGATAAAGTATGAACACGCTGCAGGGATAGGCAAGCAACAACTGTAACAAATTTCAGGGTTATATCACGTAACTTATATCACGTAAAGAAGAAGATGAATTAACTGACCAGTCACGCAAAAAGGAAAGAAGATCTGTGGCCTGCCATAAAACCTGGTATTTAGGGGTCGGAGTTCGAAGATTCCGAACGCCAACCATAAAGCGAGAAATCAGTACATGGCTGCCAAACTTGGCCTGGTCAAGAGAGAAAATAGCTGACAAGGCACTGCGTGCCACATTGATGTGGGAATATGAGCAACCCTTGTCAAAAAGAAAGGTGAGAAATTGCAATACATGACTCACAGACGCTTGGCATAGATCAAAGTCCCGTTGACGGCAAAAGCCACACCATTGACGAAAGATGGATGAGTATGATTTCGCCGTTGATGGCTTCCAGCTCGCAGTGACGATCCGGACAACTGACGCCGGAAGGCCCTCTGTCGTGAGATGTCGGCGGATAAGTGGCAGGCAACCAGCTTCATCGAGGGCAGTAGTGGATGCGTCAGCTCCGGCTGGAAGGGGCACCTGAGCAACCCATCAGAAGAAGGCAACAACAGAGGGATTGCAGTGAGCAGCTGCCACAAACGAGGAAACCAGGGCTGAGAAGGCCAAAACGGGCAAATGAGCAATAAATCTGCCGAATCATGCTCCATCTTATTCAAGACCCGACTGATCAAGGTGAAAGGGGGAAAGGCATAGCCAAAGACACCATGCCATGACAGGCTTAAAGCATTCACACCACATGAACTTGGGTCAGGTTTCCAGGAGAAGAAACAAGATAGTTTATTGTTCAAACGTGATGCAAACAGATCAACCTCTGGAGTTCCAAAACAATCACAAGTGTCTCGAAAAACCTGAGAGCACAGAGACCACTCTAAGTTGTGGTTGAACTCTCGGGAAAGAGAATCTGCCAGAGAATTTTCCACACCCGGGACATGAATAGCACGAAGATTAAGACTCCGATCAATACACCAGGACCAAATGCCTTTGGTAAGCTCGTCTAGATCAGGGCTGTGACAACCGCCAAAGTTATTAACGTAAGCGATAGCGGTGGTGTTGTCACAATGAACACACACATCGCCAGCAATGTGCGACACACAACATTGCAGGCCAAATTGAATAGCCCTCAGCTCGAGAAAGTTAATGTGCTTCAGACACTCAACAGAAGACCAATGGCTGGAAGCTTGATGCACTAGTGAATCTGCTTTGAATAAGACAGCGCCTCAGCCAGACCCCTAGCATCTGCGAACAAGTCACATTCAGAAGCATCAAGACCCAGGACATTATTTTGCTATACGTCTACCATTTTTGGCAGCTGCATTGTCAATCCACCACGACAGGTCTGTTCGACATGCAGTTGGAAGAGTAACAAGCCGGTCATAGTTAGAGGAGATACGAAGGCAGTGCACTTTGAACATTTCAAATGAGCGATAGTGCAACTGACCAAACTGAACTGCCATGAAACTGGAGATCATTAAACCAGTGACCTGTGCAATACTTCTGACGGACACAGTGCCAGAGCGGTACAGCTCTCCACAAACAGATAATAGCCTAACGAGCTTTTCTTGCGGAAGAGACAATGTCATGGCTATGCTGTCAATAATGAAACCCAGGTGAACAATAGACGTGGAGGGCACTAAAGAAGACTTCTTTAGATTCACCAGGAAGCCCAAGCTTTCCAGTAAACCCGTGGCTCGAGCTGTGTCATTGGACAGTGCATGTGCGTCTTCATTAGCATAAATAGAATCATCAATGTAGGGGGAACAACAAATTCCTTCCCTACGAAGCTGAGTGAAGACGAGTTTTAGTACTTTGGTGAAGATACGTGGGGCTGAACACAAACCAAAGCATAAGCATTGGAACTCGAACAGCTGGTCTCGCCACATAAATCGAAGATATTTCCGAACATCGGCATGCACGGGCAGTGTAAAGTACGCATCAGAAAGATCAAGGGAAGTCATATACACGCCCTTCCGGACAAATGGGAGAAATGGCAACAAATGCTCCATTTTGAAATGCCGTGGTTGAATGAACTCATTAAGTCGCTTCAAATTGATGATGGGACGCATACCCCCGACCTTTTAGCAACAACAAACACATTGGAAACAAACTGACCCGAGCAAGGGGAAACTGGGATGACTGCACCCTAAGCTATCATGACTTCCACTTCCTTGTCCATACAAATCCACTCATCCGCAGACATTTTACAAGGCATAGGAAAAGAGCCCATAAATGGCAAAGCTGTGAACTCAAGTTGCACACCCTGAATAGTGTCCAGCACAAAGGGATCATGTGTCAATACTACCCATGCATCAACACACAAAGCAATTCCTCCTGCTACCCTTACAGTTAATCTGTCCCTTTGGAAAAACGCGGCCAAGAATTCAAAATTCTGCGGCAAATTCCGCGGGGAAAAGAGGGGTTTTCTGCGGCATTTTCTGCTGTAAAATCAAAAATCTGCGGCACTTTCTGCAAGTTTTTCACCCTCCTCGTAGAGGATATGACAACTAGTCGAATGAAGGAGCACTTTCATACTATCCTTTGCAGTCACGAACTGAATAAGAGTGAAGAATCTTGGAGAGACCTGCACTGGCAAGAGAAATGTGCTCAAACAGATCGCAAAGTAGTTTTCTGCTGCTTTCTGAGTAGTAATTTTAGTAATTTACCCTAACAAAAATTCAGATTCCGCGGGCAAAAGTGTGGATTCCGTGATTTCCGCGGATGATGGCAACTTCTGCGAAATTTGCCGCGGCCGCGGAATCGCGTTTTCCAAGGGGACAGCAGTTAATGGTTCGGTCTGCCGTGGCTCGGCTTGTAGAATGGTTGGCGCCTGTTCTCCTGCCTGCCCTTTGATGGGGCGGACGTGCCTCTCCAGTTTAAACGGCCGCGGCCTGGCACATGTGTGGGCTTGTGGCGAGGCTGAGAACCAGTAGAGTCATAGGAACCAGTACGGTCATAGGGGTGAAAGCGTTGGACAGATTTAGAGACCCTCGACAGCTTACTGATCTCTTTGACGGATTCTTGTATCTTGTCGCCGAACAAATAGTTGGTAACAGGGACACTGGGGGAGCACAGAGCATGGAAGCGATGGTCGTTGCCAGACTTCATGAGGTCGCGTCTCTCGTATGAAAGTTCGAGGAATGCATTTGCCTCCTATAGTGTGCGATGGCTCTCACTAGATTTGGTACATTGCATCAACTTGTCCTTGGCAGCCACTTTGCACGATAAGCCTTTCACCAGCTAATTCTGGGAAGACTGCATGCGAGCATCATTGCCGCGCTGCCACTTGTTCAGACCCTTCCAGATGCCTGGATTGACCGGCGGCACAACTAAAGCATCGCAGTTGCCAGGGCGAGTGACTTTCTGCTTCATCTGCGTCAGCTGCTCCCTGTCTATGCGTTTTCGAACGCATTGATTGGTATAGTTGGCCAAAAACTCGCCAACATCGGGGCCAGGTGTATCATCACCTTCAAACTGGATACACAGATCCTCATCCGGGCAGGACACAGTCTCTTCATGGCCAGAAACAGTCTCCAGCTCCAACGAGTCAGGATCGAAAGTGCCATTAGGCCACACCAAGTTATTTCTATGTTTCGCGTCACCCGCCCGCGTACCTTTTCGAATCTTTGACAAGAAAAAAAAAAGAACCTAGATGAGCCAATCGATGGCTGTTCTGGCGAACATTCTCTAGCCAGTATTGCAGATCAGAGGTTATTAGCTTCTCGATAATCTTGCATTCCAGGCGATGGTACGTAGAAGGTGCGAGAGATGAAATTTCTATTTTTCCAAGCCGTGTGGTAGACCTAGGGCCTGCTCACCAAGCGAGCAGAGATTCCAGGTGTCAAGGACTTTGAGATTTTCCACGATTGTGATGGAGCGGGATCCCACTCGTCTCATGTCAAAATGCAGAAGGAGCCATCCATGAAATCTCTGTATCACTCCAGCCCAGTCTGCCAGCTGTCCTGTGACGACTTAGTGTCGTTTTGGATAGAAGTGACAGTTTAGTAGTGGTATTCTGTGTGCAACCTGGCTCAGTACACATAGAATGGAGTTTTGATTTTACTTCTGTTTTTTGTTTTTTTCCGCCCGCCCGCGTGCCTTTTCCAGAAAATATCCGACGCGAAACATAGAATTAACTTGGTGTGGCCTTACACAAATTTGGCTCGCCGGTGTCCTGGAGGAGTGACGACGAATTCTGAAGCGTCGTTTCACTCTCAGGATCAAAGCTTGATGCCACCGGATCACTTCGAGGAGTTAGGACCTCCAAAAGTTGGTTCATCTGTTGATTAAGGGAGGTGATGCTTGTCTCTAAAGTAGTCAGTCGGGTGTCGGTACTACTAGTAGCAGGTTTCTTCGCTCTTGTTTTCTGAGTACGGGTGCAAACCCCAGCAGCAGAAGGAGCAGCAACATCCAACCCAGCGCCATCTGAAACAGCAGTGGCAGCCGAGGAGTCCTCGGCACCACTAGCTGCAGCTTGCATGAGGGAACAACGATGAAAGACTGAAAAATGCAAAAGAGGAAAAAGACAACGGATCCAAAGAACGCAAAGAAAAAACTGAGTGGTTTGGTCACGCATGCGTGCGCATGTAGTTGGATAAAAAATAAATAAAAAAACTATAAAATTGCGGATCCAAGGTAACTACTGAAGGAATATCTCACTTTAGAATGTAGATCACTGTGCGTGCTCTAAGCATGCACACTGATCATGAATGCGGAGTAGGAGACGGAATAGAACTACAATTCGAAGCAGCAAAGCAACACACCACCCAACTTAGCTGGGTCAGCAATATCAGAGATAAAGGAAAGGGGAAGCTTTGCGAAAACGAATTGTACAAAACCGCACGCCAATATCTAACGGTACTCCTCATGCATGCCATGCTAGTGTGGACGAGTTGACTACAATATATAACGAATAGTTCCACATGACGTACGTTTCACCGTATTGTTCGTGACGGCTCATCAGGTGTGCAAAATTCTACCCCGGATACTGAGCCAGTAAGAAATGCCTTTTACATTGATCACTGGCTCAGTATCCGAGCTAAAAGTTATTTGAAGTGTTGATATTTACTATTTCCCGTTTGGCCTTATGAAGTAAAATACAAATCAGCAACAACACCTAACTCCAATACATCTCCGAAGTGTTAACCTTAAACCACCAGCCTTCCATCTGGGAAGGTTCTGGATTCCGGATATCAGATTGGTTAGCGCTTCAGATATGTGTTGGAGTTAGGTGGAATATATCAGTACTCTGTCAGTGTTGTGCCTAGTTGCTGAACTCTCTGACTGTCCGTAATATCTAGTTACAGTGGTGGACAGTTACTCCTTCAAACTCGTACCCATTTGTTCCTTTCCTTTCTCTAGCTATTGTCTTTATCCAATAATTATTTTTGCTGTTTTGGGGATAAACAGAAAGGACAAAATGTTACGAGTTATGACTAACTGTCCACCAAAGTAGCCAGATCATATAATAGTCAGCGAGTGCGACAAAATGGTACAAAACTGACAAGGAGTAGTGAGACATGACACCTGTGGCCTATCTCCAACACTTCTCCGTTGCTGTTTTGGAAAAGTTCATTTTGTCTTTTCCGAATAAAAACACCCGTAGGTTGCTTTTATTTCCCATTACGTCACGACACTCCACTGATGATTGTGAAAAGGAAACGTTCTGGACATGAAACCCCTTTGGTTGCCATGTGTGTGACATGAGTACGCACAAATATTATAATAATTTTATGGACTAAAGGTTACGCTATAAATGTCCACTAACACCACCAGTTACTAAACAATCAGCTCATGCGATAACATTGCACGACACTGACCAACGGTACTGACGTTCTACACCTAACTGGCTAACAGCTCTAGCACATCTTGGATCCGCACTCCTGCCAACTTAGAAGGTTCTAAGGTTCTATAAATTTGAAACTCGGATGTTGAGCCATAAATAAGTGTAGAAAAGAAATGTATGGAGATGTGTTGAAGCTAGGTGTCAGGACGTCGAATGTCTCAGTACTCTGTCAGTTTTGTGCACTTTCTGACTGTATATAGTATCAAGTTACAGTGATGGAGAGTTACTCTTAACTCGTATCCATATGTCCTTTTCTTTTCTACGTTCTATAAATTCTAAGGTTCTATGAATTTACCCTTGGCAATCCATCCAAGTCCATAGAAGTATTATCAAGAGTACATAATGTACTCTTGATATTATTCATCGCCATATCATTTTATTGTTCTTCTTTACAGTTTTATTCGTCAGCCACAAATATCACTGATGAATGTGACCAGAAATTCGATTCGGGCAAAAAATACTTTGAGAATTCTGTTGATCGGGAAACTTATACTAATATTTTACTGCTGAAGAAAGTACATGATTGTATTTTCCGAAGGAATCCATGTTTTCCTCCATGTTGAAATGACATGTGTGTATGACTGCAGTTTGTGTTTGGTTTGTGTATATCCTTCCCGTGCAGTTTAACGCAGCCACTCAACAATGTGATGGTCAGTAGCCGTTAATGCATTTATTGCAACTCGTTCTTGGGTTGGCTTTCAGGAATTATTCTCGTAGCTATGCAAAAGACGTTACTTCAGTAACGTCTGGCGCTAGCCAGGGTCCACACAGCTTTAATTTCGTGTTTGTTTGCTTGTTTGTGTTACGCCTGGCGCTATCCCGTATCTGTCCCGTACCGTACCATCAAGAGAATGAGTATGTATAGTAGCAGTATGTATAGCATTAAAGTGGTCAGCACCAAGAAATGAGAGACTGTACAGGCCCGGCATATATGTATGCGAAGTGTATCGGGGGAATGCATGCAGGGCGATAGTGCAATAAAGTCTGGCGCTAGCCAGGGTCCACAAAAACTTCCTCCGTTAACAAAAACCTCATGATGGATTTTGATGGATATGAAAACGCTTAGAACAACTTTCTTTAGCCACAAGACTCACTTCGGACTGCAGACTTCTGAAAGAATGCATGGTTTAACATGTAGTAGAATAGCATAGTCTAAATCTATTTCACCAAGCTACAATTGTGGTGATGAATACACATCCTCTCAAATATCAAGAACCATCTACACACCTTAGGCACTCTGTGTATTGTCGGCCTCCTAGATCATGACTTGTATAACATAAATAATCTGTGATTTCTTGTTTCTATGCAGTGCTGTGCCGCACCCAACTGCCAACACATTTCCTGGAGGAGTCCCACCCTGTGACGGACGGCGCCGGCGCCGCACATTGTGGCCAGACAGCTGCAGATGTCATTCTAGTGGTCGATGAGTCCAGAAGCATGGAGCCACACTACAAAGACAGACTCTATCAGATCGTGGGAAACCTATCCGTGAGCCTTGAGGAGCATGGCATTGGTCTCTACCCTGGCAAGCCGAACCAGTATACAGTTGTTGGCTTTGGCCATTCGAAAGGAGAGACGGGGTCTGATGGCCACGCTGGACCACACGTCGTCCGCAGTAACAATGGTCGTCAGGTGTACGACCTCGCTGGTTTCCGGGAGGCATGCGCTAAACTACGGAATACAGGGTCTGTGGAGGACGGCTACCTTGCCATTAAATATGCGCTGGAGAATATTACCTCTGAAGGAAGTCCGTTACTCCGATTGAAGCGCAACGACGTTGCGCCAATCATCATCTTGGTATCAGATGAAGACAGGGATATCCACCAACAAGGGAAAGGAATTTCACGCAGCTCCATTAAGAGGTTGATACGCAAGAGTGGAGCTACCTTCGAAGCCATCGTGGACAACACCATCTGGTACAACAACCAGCGAGGCTTTGGAATGGATTCCAACGGCACATTGTACATTGCTGAGAACACTACACAGTACAGAACATCAAACGAACAGCAACACAAACGCTACTTGGCTTTGCATTACAAGAACACGCGCAGAGACTACTCCTCCGTTGCCCTGGAGCTGAAGGGCGCTGTGTGGGACTTGAACTCGATACTGGATAGTGATGCGCCGTTTGCTTCACATGTGAACGCATTCGTTGAGAGTACGGTTACCCGTGTTGAGAGCAGGGTGCATAAGTGTTGCTCGTGCCAATGTGCTCACGGACCGGAGCATAGCTCTTTGCACTGCACGTATGCATCGTCTGTTCTAGAGTGCAAACGTCGCTAACTCGCCAATGGTTGTTACAGCGTATCCTCTGTTTTGTTCTGAAAAAGGTGTTTTTGACCGCTTTTGTTCCGTGACATTTCATATCCGTATGCACTGTAACACAGCAGTAGTAGTAGTAGCAAGAGTTCATATGTAGTCTTGGTAGGAGTAGTATTTTGATAGGGAAGGCCCTGCAGACGTTGTCGTCTTGTTACAGTCCAACACTTCACACAGTATCTTCCCATTTTGCATGCCACCACATGCCAATCACATGTACTGCACTCTCATTCAGATTCGCACTGTTCCGCAGTGCAGTACATTTTCATTTTTGATCCTGCCTTTTCTGAGTACAGCTTTACGAGGTGATTTGTAATCATTTTACATGAAAGTAAAAAAGGCTATCATTCCGTTGCCCTGGCGAGTTTTGAAGTGTGCATGGTCTCATTCTGTCACTACGTATGTCCTCTATCCACGTATGGACTTCTTGATCGAACACCACAAACATGAGACACACAGTGTGGGGTTGCCTTGCATGCATTTTTTCACCCAGAAAAAGTGTGTACAAAAGTTTACAAGTCGGTAAAATAGGGTCTAACATCAACAAATATGACCTAAATGTGTCAATAGGCTTGCAATGGGAAATCAAGATACATCTGAAGCAAGTCACATGCAGAGAAAGCAGACTGTTTTTGCAGGTTGCCCAACGTATTGGATTCTGTACGTCGTCAACTGCGGTTTAAAACGGTAAGGTATCTTTGACCGCCTACAGGCATTGTAGAGCATGAGCACGCAGACCTTATCTTGCTGCTCTATTTCTTTCAACTTGCAGTTCATCCTCATGCGTGAAATAACCACACTAAGCAAAGATACCATCCATGATGCGCGCCAGCCGTCCCACGACAGGGTGTCTTCGTGCATCTTGGCCACAGTGCATTTGACCGGCACATACTGACAATGTCGGGGCTTCCATACTCTCCAAGACAAGTGCAGTGACTCCTTCACCTGATTAATATACTTCTGTGTTGGAAGAAGAGTGCAGACCACCCTCAATGGGTGCTCCGCCATCAACACCCAACATACATTCATGCCGCATTTCCTGCATTTGCACTTTGCCATCGTGAATCTCTACCAGCACTTCTGAGTTAGTAAGCTGAGTTTCATACTCAGAGCTACTGAACAGCTAATTATTTAACTGTATGCTGTAAGCATCAGCAGCTTCGGACTTGGATTTGAATCACCTTTCGTGATAGGTGAGTGAAAGACACCTTTTGTCAAAATTGCAGTTTCTGACCTTCAACTTTTTTGGCTAATCTCTTCTTCAACCCTGCTACTTTGACGGTGTGACAGACTCAATGCTGGCGTTGGTGACCAGCCAAGGGTTTCCACCTCCCGTAGAATATGCTCGCTGGCTCTTGGACGTCCTTCAAGCATCCATTGAGGGATATTTTACCTCATTGTAGGCCTGGGTGGATAATGCTAGTTATTTTGCGGGATAATGCTAATGGCAATGCCAGAAAAACTGTATCATAATGCTACTTATAATGCTGCTGTTCCTCTGTAATGCCAGCGATTCACCAGTAGTAAGTATGGAAAAATGGTTTGGTTTGGGTAGTATTGTGCACGTTTCATAGTTCAACGTAGATGGCATGGAAAATGCTAGATAATCATAATCATGATGCTAATTTTATGCTGCTATTGCTCCATACAATCCCTTGCAGCTAGCTGTCCAGCGAGGAAAGTCTCGAGTGGAGGCCTCTCGATCTGCTCGCTCATTCGCCTGGCATTCAGTAGCACTTCATCGCCAAGGACTTCAAAACAGTTTTCACACTGCGCTTCAAGCCTTTTTCTTCGTGAACTTCCTGCAAACGTATGAGCTCTGCTGCGCGTGTTCCCTTTGTGTGAGGCCAAGAAACAGCTAGTATCTCCGTACTTCGATTGGCTGGATCGATGTCGTCCAGGTTCTCCTCGCTATCGCCATCACGACTCTAACTGGAGACGATTTCTTCACCATTTTCCGCAAGCAGCAGCTAGCGCAGGAATTTCGTCATCCCTGAGTGTAGGAGATGGAATCCGTTCGATCAGCTCAAAAACTCTTCGTTGTGACTTGAGCCTAGAGGAGTAGCAGGGAATATTCTACCGGAAGCCCTTTGACTTCCCTGACTGCTGAAACCCTTCCTGCCATGACCACTGATGGCTGCTACTTCTTCTAACAAGCGAGATTCTCTTTGGTTCCACTTCAGTGTTCACTGCACTCGAGCGTCGACGCGTCCACCAGGTCCACGCGACACAACCTTTTACAAACATCATTTTTTCTCCAAAAAAATGATTTTCACCCTAAGCCTGGTTTTCGCAGAAGTAATTAGTTGGGCCATTTGAGTATTGCCACTTTTGTGGAAATGTAGTGATAATGCTAGCATAATGCTCGTTGCAAATCGCACACTATAATGCTACTTATAATGCTAGCATTATCCGCCCAGGCCTACCTCATTGACCACAAATTCACGAATTTCGATCCATGATTGATGTCTCACAAGGCCGTGGAAGAAAACAATTCCGCTAAACGCTGCTGATGCTTACAAACTCCAATACAATGGCAACTCACTTGTCTGTCGAACAAACAAAAACACTTCATGGGAAGAATGCAATCGCCCTCAACAATGATATTTTACTCCATTTGTAAAATAATTTGCCATGTAATTTTTTTTACAAATCACCTCGTACATGTAGTTCAAGATCTAAAATATGCTCAGCACCGAATCTCAGCCTGTTTGTGTTATGTCAGGAGGGATGCACGGGGGGGGGGGGGGGGGGGGGAAGGAAACGCTAATTTTCACCGACCCTTGTGCAGGTGTGCCCAAAGCACCCATTTAATGATATAGTCATATCCATGTTGTGACGTGCGCGCCCCAGAGGGAGGCCTGATTCCGCAACAAACTCGTGGTTTCATATCCTGTTGTCATTTCCCTAGACTACACTGTCTCTTTCTGTTTCCCATGGTACAGGCTGTACATCACCAGTTGAGATACTTTGGAGAAATCGAGGCACAGTGCACTGAGGTGATCGGTCAGTTAGGCGCTTGACATTTTGTCGCCAGACATTTTGAGGTGGTCAATTCATCTAATGACATTTTGCGACTGTGCTGTTTCACAGCTTGATTTTTCGCCGCATAACACATTCGACGAGTACATTTGGGCGAAGTTACATTTTCACCATAGCAGTATAGGGGGAGAAGGTTATGGCTCACCTCAAGGTGAGCCAAAATCGACTTTCTCGATCGGACCTTCGGGCCGACCTCCCAAGTCTCCCCCCTCCCCCTATACAGCTGAGGATAGACACCCCAAGTACTAATTTTACAACCCCAAGTACTAATTTTACACCTCCAACCACCGATCCAATGTTGGCTCAACCCCATTCCAGAAAAGTGAGCCAACTTGCTCCCTCCGAGAAATCAGACCGAAATCGGAAGTGAGCCAACTTTAGCTTTTTCACTTACCCAATCTTGGCTCACTTCGAGGACTGATGTGGGATCGTTTTTCTGAGCCAACTTCGGGTGGTTCAGCTTTGGATGATTTACCACTATCAATTGGTCACTCATACACATTTTCCATCTCATCATCAACAATAATATTTCCCCATCTTCTAGCTCTCGTGATATCTTTTCAGCATACTCAACTGTTTCCTGTTTTAGTTTTGCTAAGGGATGGATCATTTCCACATATATCTGTTCTTGTTTTTCATCAGCTTTTTTTTGTAATAGGGGGTTTCCATCCTGAGTTGAGTGCAGCAAGAGTTTCTTCTGTGGGTATTAAAGTTGTATTTTTCACCTGATCATCTTTACATGATGTGGGTGGTTTCGAAAGATGGGTCTTCATCTTTCTTTCTGTGGTATATTTTTTTATTTGTCTGTGAAATACACCAGCAGTAATGGGGATGAGAAGAAGAAGAAGGAAAAGGAGGTATATCAAGTTGTTTGATTTTCCTAAATAAAATTAATGTAGAAAGGGAAAGGACATATGGATACGAGTTGAGAGTGACTCTCCATCGCTGTAACTAGATACTATATACAGTCAGAAAGTGCAATAACTAGGCACAAAGCTGACAAGAGTACTGAGACATTCGACGTCCTGACACCTAGCTTCAACACATCTCCGTAGCGCTAACCAACAGCCTGTAGGGACTGTAGCTTTTCCCTTGGGACTGTAGCTTTTGCTCATTTTCGTTGCGCTTGCCTTCCCCTCTTTGGTCTTTCCATAACCTTGAACCTTCCAAGTAAGTTGGAAGGCTGTCGGTTAGCGCTACGGAGATGTGTTGACGCTTGGTGTCAGGACGTCGAATGTCTCAGTACTCTTGTCAGTTTTGTGCCTAGTTATTGCACTTTCTGACTGTATGTAGTATCCAGTTACAGTGATGGAGAGTTACTCTCAACTCGTACCCATATGTCCTTTTCCTTTCTAAACAAATATATACATACCTGATAACCATGGACTGCTTCTGGCTAGATTAACTCTTGTGTAATCAATGGTGCTAGTGAAGCTTTTATCAGATCCACTCTGATTTAGCCACTCACACTAACAGCAAGTATTACCTTGACTGGGGGCAGAGGTAACTGCATTTGGATCCCGGGACGGATACCCTGATGCCGTCAATCCTTTTTCTGCACCATGTTTTATTTGTGGTATTACCCCATCCTTGTGGTATTCCCCATCCTTTTGGTATTCCCCATCCTTGTGGTATTAACCTATCCTTGTGGTATACCCCATCCTTGTGGTATTCCCCATCCTTGTGGTATTACCCCATCCCTGTGGTATTAACCTATCCTTGTGGTATTAACCGATCCTGGTGGTATTAACCTATCCTGGTGGTGTTGAGCAGTCCAGGCAATCTGGGAACGCTCGCAGTACAGTATTGTGACTGCAGTCACTGCACATTTACAGCTGTACAGTCATGTACATGCAGATGAAGCATGTCTTTTTGTCAGTGTTTATCCAAACCCACAACTATTACTTGCACGCAGCTGCTCAAAAGCTAGCCGGGCTCGTGTGAACGTGAGGCACACAGGCCCACACACAGTACGGAAGGTTGGCAAGACGAAACTCGCGTTCGTGTTCGTGAAAAGGTTACGGTTCTCGAACTGGATTGCGAACTTTCGCATTTTTCTTTCGGAAAAGTAGTCGAAACACGAACCGCGGATTCGTGTCAGGACAGTCATAAATTTACTACGCTGTACTGTCTGTGCACAATGTATGACGTGTCAACGTCATGCATGTGCAAATTCTGTTTGCTAATCCTTCTCATAACGCGAATTCCGTCACGGAGTTCGACTTTCCTGGGAGTGAGAACACGAACGCGAATTTCGTCTTGCTAAAACTCCACAGTGAGTAGCACAGGACTACACACAGTGAGTCGCACAGGACCGTGTTTTCGGAATTCTAAAATGGGATATAAAATCAGCGAGAGAGCGAAAGCAAGAAGTGCCATGAATAGCGAAAGAGCAGAAGAATTTGGCAACGAAAGAAATCCATGTCAAACAGTGGGGAAAAAAGAATCAAGATAATGTGGAAATGAAGAGCGTTTGGGGGGGGGGGGGGGGGCAGGTCGGAATCAAGCCCGAAGTTTGGCCACGGGGCACAGTTAGGACTAGTCTTTCCAGTGATGTTGCCTTGGCCCCTGGAATGCGGAGCAGTTATTTGCAAGGCAGGGGGTACGTTAGCACAAGTATTATGGACGCCATTGTGTATTGCGACCAAATGATACGGTTCATGCAAAAATTACATACATGTAGGCAGTGCAGAGTGTCTCAAGAAGAGGGAAGCAAAGGGCAGACGCTGCTCTATGCAACTAATAGCAAGGAATTGCTATAATGCCCAAGTTGTCACCTCCCCATGTACAGACACGCACACATTGCTCAGGCTGATAACTAACTGCAGGGGTCATCGGAATACGAGAATAGGAGCAGGCAATAAGGGAATAGGAGCAGGCAAGGGCATGACTAGGTCACAGGCGCCATGTACATGTACATGTACCTATCAAACAATAGTTATGACAATATGCGTTTCAGGCATGGACTCTCACAACTCTCGCTAATGTGATTGAAATGTCATGACAGTCGACAGGAGTCGCTGACACAGCACAATTCAGATATCATCAGGAGGATAATCATCAGGAAGACAATCCCCAGGACGACAGCGTTATTGTGCCAAAGGCCGACAATCAACAGCATGACAATCATTGCCATGACACCCATCACGGATGACAATCACCTGGATGACACTCATCAGCATGACACTCATCAGGATGCACCATGAGGATGCTCAAACGGCATGACGATATTTAGCATTATGATCGTCAGCACGACAATTATATGGACAACAAGGTGGCAGGACACTTACTAGGTGGACAATCTGCTGGACAACAAGGATCAGGATGAAAGCGTGCGGTGACACGAGTGAAAATGAGCGGATGTGTTTGATTCGTTGTGACATACGCCTTACTAATATGGCTGAAATTTGAGCACAGCCTCAAATGCCGTCGGGTGAAGGGTAGGGCCTGCGGACTAATGTACTGCTGCACAGTACTGCTTACAATGTTGTACAAGCGACGAGAGCACATGTCGCTCCGCTGGTCATCTTGAGCAAGAGGCGCAGATTGCTAGGGGGTAGCATAGGTGGCCTCGTCAAGTGGAAATATGCTGCGCAGGTTCTCAGAGGAGCCGTACGCAGCATTCGCAACCATGCCGTGTGGCATTCCAATCTCATATAAGTTGCATGACGGCGCAGCCGCATTGGCACCGACGTCCTGCGACGTTTCGAGACCGTACACATTGGATGCAGGTGCAGCCGCATTTCCGACCGCGCCTTGTGACGTCTCAATCTCGTATATGTTGGATGCAGACGCGACCGCATTTGCAACCACGCCTTGTGACGTTTCAATCTCATAGACATTGGATGAAGGTGCAGATGCATTTGCAACCACACCTTGTGCCGGTTCAATCTCATAAATGTTGGACGAAGGTGCAGATGCATATGCAACCACACCTCGTGCCGGTTCAATCTCATAAATGTTGCACGAAGGTGCAGCTGCATTTGAAACCACGCCCTGTGGCTTGTCAACCTCGCACACAGTGAATGCAGCTGGCGCAACTGCATTTGCAATCAAGCCCTTTGGGTTGTCAATCTCGTACACGTTGGATGCAGCCGGAGCAACAGGGGCGGGAGCATATCGGTTTTCTCCGCTGTTACCTGCCTTTTCAGCCATGCCCTGCGGTTTGTCAAGCTCGTACACGTTGGATGTGGCAGGAGTACCTGCTGCAGAAACAGGAGTATACCTGCCTTCTTCGCTGTTGCCTGCCTTTTCAGGCATGCCCCGGGGTTTGTCAAGTTCATACACGCTTGACGCGACAGGCGTACCTGCTGCAGAGGCAGGAGCGGGAGCATATCTTTCTTCTTCGCCGTCACTAGTGCTTTCAGGCACGAAGGGAATGGAGTAATTGCTAATTGACTGGCGGATAGGCAGCCTGGGTGTGACTGAACCGAGACAATTGGAGTCTAGGTACTCTTCGTCACCATCTGGATCCACGTTGTTCGAGTATAGGTACTCTCTCGTTGCGACTTGCGGCGACGGAGTGCGACATGATGCCAGGGCAGTGTCCTCTCCAGCTGCCGTGACACCTGTGAACTGATACCTACTGCTTCTGCGAGAGAGATCAGTGGCTGCACTCACAACACCTCCTGGCCCGTCGGTCTCTGCGTATATGCCCTCGTCGGCGTCGCACCGATCGAACTCGGTGGCGGCGTACTTGTCCGTCTCGCCGCAGCCGGAGTAGATGCAATCCCTGGTCGGCGGACGAGTGAAGTTGGTATCAGCGTACACCCCGTCCTCTTCCGTGCTGATGGGTCTGGCAGCGACCGAGTACTCCTCCTCCGGCTCATTCCACGTGTTCCGGCTGTACTGGTTCTCGTTGCCGTCGGGCCTGGTGGCGTGCGAATACTTCTCCTCCAGCTCATTCCAGGCGTTGCGACTGTACCGCGCGTCGTCCGCGTCTACCTCGTAGAAGCTTTGCGACGAGGTGAGCGTCTCGTGCCCGAAGCTCGGCACGATGGACTCGCAGCTCGAGCTCTTGTCCACCATGTGTGCCGGTATATCCAGAGTGCTGTGTGTGACGCTCACAATCCCACCACCACCGCCAATGACGGTGGAACCGCGTTTCCCCGACGACGGCGGAGGGTTGCGCGGCAGCGCGGGCAGCTGGCTGTAGACATTCTTCTGGAACTGCTCGCAATCCTGGTAATCGCCCTCGTCCTCGGCGATGGCACAGCCCCCGGCGCCGTTCAGGTCCGGACTGTTCCATATGCCTGCTACGCTGGGCCGGCCCAAGGAAGACACGTTCATATCGGATTTGTTCGTGTAGGTTCCTTCCAGTGCACCATGTCTGCAGCAACAACAACAACAACAACATATTGGCCACAGGCCATCGTGAGAATAAAAGATTTCAAACAACAACAGTTTAAGCAAAATTATATCAACCCTGCTGCTCAATTCAATCTGCTCGTGCACGAGCCATGCTCACCCGTGCATCTTGTTTGATCACTGCTAGCCATGAAATTTCCGCATCATACTAATCTTCCTATAATATTATTATTATCTCTTATTGGCTACAGGCCATCGTGAGAATAAAGATTTGAAACAACAACAACAACAACAACAACAACAACGACCACCATCAATCACACTCAACGATACCAACCTCACTGTGGCCTCAAGGCATCGCCACCTTGGCCTCCTCATACAGCAGAATCTATGCTGGAACTCGCATGTTGACTACATCATCGCTAAAGCGACCAGGAAGATGTTCCTTCTCCTGCGACTACGCAATTCCTTAAACACTTCTGCTCTCTCCTCCATCTATCTAACCTACATCCGCCCTATTCTTGAGTATGCTTGCACTGTCCTCTCACCCCTCCCCGCAACCCTGAACGACCGGCTTGAGCGCATCCAACGGCGCGCTGCTCGCCTCTGTTTGCATCTCCCCCTCTTTGAACACAGAACCCACTCCGTGCTGCTGCACCGACTCAAACGGCCATCACCCAGCAGCCGCCGTACCCTCTGCCATATCCTTCTTGCACATAGCCTGCATCATAGATATGCACCACCACACCTTCTTGCAATTCACCTACCCCGAATACAACCCATTCGCACGCTCAGGTTCCCCCGAACCTTTGAGCTACCCACAACACGTACAAACCGGCTAAGAGACTCCCCCATCTATGCTTCTCTTGATCTCTTTAATAGCATCCCACCCAGCATCCGGCAAATCAACCCCAGAGGAGATTTCAAAGCAAACATCCTACCACTTGTCATCTCTTCCGTATGTACTTGCTCACATTGCTCAGCACATCTATAGCTCCATTGTGCCCAGCATACGTGATTAACTCCCAATTAGTATTGCCATCGCTACTGCCTCAGCAAGCAGCTAAACTTTGATCTCTCTGTATCTGATCCCCGTGCCTGTAATTATTTTTCTCTTATTGGCCACAGGCCATCGTGAGAATAAAAGAATTCAAAAGAATTCAAACAACAACAACAACAACAACAACAACAACAACAACAACAACAACAACAACAACAACAACAACAACAACAACAACAACAACAACAACAACAACAACACCAACAACAACAACAACAATAAAAAAGAAAGAAAAACAACAACAACAACAACAGCAATACTCCATCCTCTGTCGACCAAACTGAGGTAGCTGAGAGTTCCAGCTTGCAGGTAATCGCTCCCAGTACACCCCCAATGTCCGGCACCCCTCCGCCTACAGGCACTGGGGCAGGCCACGACGACGGGGCCACCACGGTTGCCTCTGACGATGCGGATTGGATACCCAGCGGTCCTCGTCGTCGCCGACACAGCCACGGCCATTCGACCATGGAGGAGAAAGCCAAGGCCGATGGGACATGGCCCTCCCCTCAGAGGAAACACCCGAAATACTGAGTCCAGATAAGTTTCAACAGCTAGCCAAAAGACAAAAACATAAAAAAAAAAAATTAAATAAATAAATAAAATTCCCCCCAAAAAAAACAATACCAATGTCAGTGAATTTGAACTTTCTCAGCACCAATGTGCGTTGCATATTCAACAAAATGGACGAGTTACTTACCTTTACCCGTTCGTGCTCTGAATCTCAGAACGAACTATCAGTCATTGCAGTCCAGGAAACCTGGGCTGACACATCAGACCCTGACAGTCTCTATGCAATCCCAGGCTACAAGCTGATCAGAGCTGACAGACAGGACTATGGTGGTGGTGTTGCCTTGTACATAGCGGAACGTTTCAACACAAGGGTACTGACAATACCAATGACAGCAGCAGAATGCATATGGACGAGAATATCCACCTGTAACCTTTCCCTCGTTGTTGCAAACATTTACCGACCACCCCGTAGCGATGCCACCCTCTTCTGTGCGGAACTGGAAAGAAGCATCAAAACCGCTAGAGCCGAAGGTGACGACCTCCTACTACTTGGAGACTTCAATGCCAAGAACAGTGCGTGGCTCACCACAGACAGAACAGATCGCCTTGGGGACGACATACAAACTCTGCTACACACATACGGCCTCACACAACATGTCAGATTCCCTACTTACATCCACCGACAAACACCTCTCTCATGTCTAGACCTTGTTATCTCCTCACTCCACACCAATGATATTCATATCCAATCACTTCCACCGTTTGGCGCATCTGATCACACTACTATCAGTGGCCACATCAATAATCAACTGCCCCCCATAATTAACAACTCCCCTCCACGATCCAGAAGCACCACATTCTGGTCATGGACAGACAGCACTATCCACCTTCTTCGAGAAGCCCTTTCACGCACAAATCTCAACCACCATCCAAACCAACACGACCCATGCCCAGTTGACACCTTCTGGCGATCCTGGCGCGACGATGTCATGAGCATCGCCCAAGAACACTGCCAAGTTACTCGCACTCACCCCCCTTGGGACAGGAAGAACGTGCCAGCACGACCATGGATATCAAAGGGCCTCTTGAAAGAGATCAAGGATAAGCACAGAAAACACAGAATATACCTTCACTCACGCTCGCCTGACGACTGGAACACGTTCACTGCCCAAAGAAACCGTGTCACCACCCTCCTGCGTCGTGCTAAATCGGATTTCGTAAACAACTCAACAGCCTCCTCTACTTCCCTACACCGCCTCATGAAGCACCTAACTACAGCTACAAAACAACGCATACCCGAACTCGTCAGCCAAGCAACTCCTGCAACGACACCAGCACAAAAAGCCGCTGCCCTCAACGAATTCTTCATTTCACAGAGCAAGCTGTCCGTGGCCAATGCGGATGAGCAAACTCCAGCCATCAACACCACCCCTGACATCCTCAGTCCCCTTCAAGAAATCTCGACTTCCCAAGCTGAGGTCGAAAAACTCCTCCGAGCAGTTGATACCAACAAAAGCCCCGGGTTTGACTCTATTCCAAACCGCCTCCTCAAAGAAGCGGCTAAGGAACTTGCACCGTCGTTATCGTCCCTCTTTAATCTATCGTTCCAAACCGGAGAAATCCCACAGGAGTGGAAAGATGCCACCATTACTCCAGTACCCAAGCCGGGTGACCCAACCCAACCAACAAATTATAGACCCATCTCTCTCTTGAGCACTACATCAAAAATCCAAGAAAAAATTGCACATCAACTCCTCTACAAGCACATCACACCCCACCTGCCCAACCAGCAGTCCGGATTCCGCGAGAAAGACGGCACTGAGCAGCAGCTCGCCCGTCTCGTCCATACCCTCTCCACTGCGAGAGACGACGGGAAACACGTCAATGCCTGCTTTTTCGATCTAAGCAAGGCCTTCGATCGTGTGTGGCATGCAGGCCTTCTAGCAAAACTCTCCCACTATGGTGTCCAGGGCAACGCCCTGGAGTGGTTCCGACGGTACCTGTTGGGGCGTCGGCAAAGGGTCCAGGTGGATGGCGACCTATCGCCTTTCCTCGAGATCCCTGCCGGCGTCCCTCAGGGATCTGTTCTTGGGCCGCTTCTATTCCTCGTCTACACCATAGACCTTCCACACGCATGTGAGAATCCCAGCACCACCTGTAGCCAGTTTGCAGATGACACCGCTCTGATTTCCATAGCGAGAACTCTTCAAGACTGTACCCGAAACCTACAACAGAGTGTCACAGCAGCTGGAGACTGGCTTCAAAGATGGCACCTGCTGGTTAACACAAAGAAAACAGTCATCCTCCCGTTCTACCACAATAACCGCCCCCCTGAACAGCTACCCCAGATCACCCTCAGGAATAGTCCGCTTACCGTAGCACAAAAACACAAACACCTCGGAATAATCTTTCAGCATGACCTCCGTTGGACGGAGCATGTTGAATACATAGTCAAAAAATCACTCAAGTCTTTCAATATTCTTTTTAGACTAAGGTCTACACTCACCAGTGATTCTTTATCTCACATCTATCAGACATACATACTACCTATATTCTCATATGCGAGCACTGCTCTCACACCGTTGTCCCACACTTCCCTTGACAGGCTAGAACGACTCCAGCGGAAAGCCGCCAGAATATGTCTCCACCTTCCCCTTTACACACACTTAGAACACTCCCACCTTTTGCATCGCATCAAATGGCCAACATTATTTTCACGCTTTAAAGTTAAACATATACTCTTCGCGCATTCTCTGCGCCACAATTATGCCCCACCACATATACTCTCGCTGCATACTGCTAGCAACGTGCAACCTTCGTATAATTTACGTCGCTCTCGTACTTGGCACTTGCCAACTCCGCGGACTGACCGCTGTCTCCATTCTCCCCTGTACAAGGCCCTTCATTACTTTAATTGCCTGCCCACCCAGCTTCGCGAAATCCCTTCTCGTACTCCCTTCAAATCCGAGATATCCCTGCTGTTGCACAACTCTGTATGCTCGTGTAGCGACCACCCCTGCCCGTACACTTAAGTACGCAACTCTGTATGCTCGTGTGGCGACCACCCCTGCCCGTACACTTAAGTAGTCATTAACCCCTAGGCCCTGCCCACCCAATTCTTCCTCACTCTTTCTCCTTTCTTACACTATTATCTCTTATTGGCCACTGGCTATCGTGAGAATAAAGATTTGAAACAACAACAGCAACAACAACAACAACAACAACAACAACAACAACAACAACAACAACAACAACAACAACAACAACAACAACAACAACAACAACAACAACAACAACAACAACAACAACAACAACAACAACAACAACAACAACAACAACAACAACAACAACAACAACAACAACAACAAGTGCAACCTTCGTATAATTTACGTCGCTCTCGTACTTGGCACTTGCCAACTCCGCGGACTGACCGCTGTCTCCATTCTCCCCTGTACAAGGCCCTTCATCACTTTAATTGCCTGCCCACCCAGCTTCGCGAAATCCCTTCTCGTACTCCCTTCAAATCCGAGATATCCCTGCTGTTGCACAACTCTGTATGCTCGTATAGCGACCACCCCTGCCCTTACACTTAAGTACGCAACTCTGTATGCTCGTGTGGCGACCACCCCTGCCCGTACACTTAAGTAGTCATTAACCCCTAGGCCCTGCCCACCCAATTCTTCCTCACTCTTTCTCCTTTCTTACACTATTATCTCTTATTGGCCACTGGCTATCGTGAGAATAAAGATTTGAAACAACAACAACA